CAGTGGCCCTAATCCTCTTCCGTATTATCCCACAAACACATTAGAAAAAGTGCTTTTGAAAAGCTACAACCAGACTTAGATCAAGCTCAGTCCAATAAAAAAAGTCATTGGGGATGATCACACCTGACATGATTTTATGCAAGGGGGTTTGTGTCGCTCTGGCAGATAGACCCCAGGTCTGTTTTAGTCTGACTGAGCAGAAATTATCGGCAATTTCATGGGTTTGACAGGAAGAGAGATGCGGTTACCAAGTAAAACACATCCGCTTTGGGGGAAAATACAATATAAAATCTGTTAACTTTGAAGTCATTGATCTCATATAAGGAAGGGGGAAAAAAAAAAAAAATATATATATATATATATAATTAAATTAAACATAAAGAAAAACAATACTTTACCCACAGGAGGACAGAAAACAGATAAAGTAAAGATCCTCTTTGAGTCTAGGAAAAACAAGTGGCATAAAGGGCAGTTTATCACTCCTGGAAAAAAAATAACTTCAGGAGGAGAAAAAAACAGATATATTAAAGTAGTGATCCTCTTTGAGCCTCACAAAACCATAATAACGAGGGGCAGACAGAGCAGGTAAGCACGGTATATCTCTATCACCTATATGCAAATAATAAATAAAAACTTTGCAGATCTCTTTCTGAGAATCACCTCTCTCTGCCTCAGTCAGCTTTAAACCACCCCACTGTGTTTATTACTGGGTTTTAGGCCTATGAACATTATCTTATCTGGTTTTTATCTGCACAGACTCGCTTTGCTTTTAAGAATGCGCCGGTGTTTTAAACTTTTTTTTTTCTGCCCAAACTAATGTGGGATTTTTTTTTTTTGTGTGTATAGGACAGAGAAAGAAGTAAAAAAAAAATGCACAGATCTGCGCAACCTGCCTAGTTGGAGCCTCTCTATACGCTGTCAGTGTAACATGGAACAAAATCTGATCAGAGATCATAAAGTCGCACACAACCAGTGTGTTCTGGCCTTAAAACTTGTTTAAAACCCTGACAAATCTAAAGTGTTGCCGGTTCTAATTTTTAAGACTATATCAGAATCACATTTAATCTAAAATACCTCATATTTAAGTATATTTTACTTATATTTTATCTCCTGACAATTTATTTTTGTAAATCTTCAGGAGACTATTATCTGTTTACAAAAGGTTTTTACTAATACTGAAAAAAACAATTCCTTCATGTTTTGGTCCCTCCAACTCCAATTAATGGCACAAAGACTTAAAGTGGAAGGCCTGGGTCTCTACTAATGTATTTGACGCCATTCTTCATTATTTTGCTTTGATGTATGTGGTTTTATAATTGTGAAAGTTTGTGTGCTACTGCTGATTCTTGGCCAGGTCTCTCTCCAGATATTTTTACAGTTTTTATTGATTGCTTTGACACAGCAGTTGACCCAAAATCCACATTTTTCAAAACAGTTAACACAGAGGCCTAAATGTGTCATTTTGAAAACAAAACAGCACAGGCTCTAACTCTACAAAAACATTTAAATTATGGACAAAAGGAACATTTAACCCTCAAAAAAGGGCTTGCACACAAATGTATGAGCGCTTCAATTCACTGATTATACAAGGGGCAATAAAATAGAAGATACAACACTAAATCAGTGCTGCATAGCTGGTCATTGTAGCAATGACTGTATGCAGCTTACATGTCAGTGTTATATGTATTTAAATTTGCCTTCTTGCATAAAATGGATCCAGAATCAGATATGCTGAATTGCACATTTTATTGATCATTCATTCTTTTCTTTTTTCTGATTATGGTTAACAAATGAAGCATTCTACGGTAACAGAAAATAATAATGCTCTTGAAACGATTTTAATTGCTGTTAATAGCATAACACTGGGGAGTTAACAGATCCTTCATTTTCAGAGCAGGGGAGACTGATTGTGGTAATGTTTTGATTCGTAAAGGAAATAATAATGTGATAACTTCTACAGAGCTAGAAAATACATATAGATAAAGATAGCTAATAAAATCCATCACCGTTTCTAAATTAGGAACATAAAAATAATAATCTTCTATAATAAAGAAGAAGAAGAAGTTAGAGGCTAATAGAAGTAGGCTTATAAGAGTACATGGTAAAATATAACCATACGTGATAGTCTTCTGGCTCTTCTAGTCTCTTCTCTCAAGGAATTGGCAACATGGCCTCATCTACATCACACTCAATGTTTTCCCCTGCGATGCACCTGGGGAAATATCTTCTAGCATCCTAGATCCATCCTTGAAATCCATCTGCATCTGTATCTTTGTTAATCAATGGTCATTCCATTGACCAAGAGCATCTCCTCATAGGGGTGATGATCATACACCTTCCACCTTCATGCACTGCTATAGGATTTAAAATGGAGAGTATCAATCAATCAATGAATCGAGATCTCATGAAACTTTGTTTCTGCTGCAGATTTAAAGGGGAAACAGATTTACTGGGATATGCAACACGCAATAAAATATATCTCCAAGTTTACCAGAAAGTTTACAAGAAAAAAATATCCTTTGCTATATTTAAAATGCAGCATATCCAATTTTTGTTCTGTATGAAATTGACATTGTACTTCTAGGGATGCATGATGGCATTTGGCTCTTATTAATTATTTTTTCATGCATTGATGTTTTTGGGCCCTATATTTGTAATGCACTAAAAGGCATCTCTCTAACATCTTTAAATATGAATATCAGTTGTGGTGTTGTGTTCCCAAAAATAGGAAAGCATTCAATAAATATATGTTTGAGCTCATTTTTTGAAAATTAGCCTAATGAAAGTGTAACTGTACCATGCACCACCCAAGTGTCCCCACCAACTTTCATCACAAAGTTACACTCTTTAGATGATGGTACTGTAGCCTGGACACTGGCGGCCGTTTGCTCCGGACCAACCCCGGAGCCGAATGCTCGGTTCAAGTGCCTGGTCCAGCAGGACCCCCACCCCCAAAGAAAAGAAAAAGTGTCCTGCTCTTCAGAAAATCCAAATCTAGTAACCCTATTCAGAATTTGCTAGGCTTTTCTGCCTTGTAGCAAGACAGCGTTGTAAAAAAACACCATCCTTCTAGGAGTCCATGGTGTATCCCACGAAGTATGTCCTGGCAGGACAGGAGGGAACCCCTTTCCCCTGTCTTCCAGTTGGGAAAATTTGATCAATTGCATTGAGACACTAGCTGACCAAAACCAATTCGGGTGATACGAAGAGAGGGCTCAGAAGAGCCAAGACACCACCGTTTGTGGGGCACCATCATTCTAGGGTGCACCACAAACCACTTATTCACTACAGCAGAGAGGTAGAGTGCCACATTGTCCCAGATTATCCAAAACAGTGGCATTTAAGGCCTCAGCAGTCCTCTTTCCTGAGGTGGGAGGAGCCTGTCATCCAGGGTATCAAGGAATGCAATCAGGCACTCCTCATCAGTATTGCAGGGCCCTATTGCAGGAATATGTGCCATCATTGGTAATAGCAGCCCACATAGTTTTGTCAGCGCCCCTCTGCCCTAGAACTTTAGTAGCGGCTTGATGTCCAGTGAGGTCCTTCCCTTCTCCTCTCTTTCAACATATTCTTATTATGAGGTCGTATGAAATCGTACGAAAAGGGGAAAAGTTTTGGACGTTTTTCCTCAAAAAAACCACATCAGTGCGCATGCGCTGGCAGACAGAAAAAAAAAAGCAGATCTGCGGACGGACGTAAAACTGGGACAAATAGTGCAATCATCACTTATTCATGTCTCTAACTACGTTGCTTGCTGTTTTATATCTTAGGGTTAGGGCTAATTGTAATTTATATTCTATATTTGTGAATGGTGCGCCAGATGCGCATACGACGAAAAAAACGTCCAAAATGTACGAAATTACGGTGCATAACTTTTTGTACGATTTCATACGCTCTCATAATGAGAATAGGTTGTCTCTTTCCAGAGGTTGAGCCGGCTTCATTGACAAAATAAAAAACACGATATGCCCAATCAGCTTCAAGCTCAATAATTCACTAAAGGAAACATAAAGAAAAATTACAATTACTTAAACATAACTCCAGTTGACAGCAACTGCAGTATATTTCCCAAGGCATAACAGTACAGTAGTGAATGTCCTCTTACCTCCACATAATGGCATCAGAGTTCCTCTTGATTGGAACTCTGTAGATCTGTTTAATGGCCATATGGTCCCTTCTGAGGACAGAGTTAATTGTGGTTTTGCTCACAGTATTTACATTTCTAAATACCTCCTGTTCTGCAGCACTGTTGCCTGGATTTCATACAGCCTAATGGCATCATTTGCCGTGAACTATGTTCCCAATGGCCGCCTCCTGCTCAGCTTTCATAATTCTGCATCTACCACTACCAACCGGTAGCCTTTCGATTCGATAAAGAATAAATGAAATGTGGAAAAAAATTACCTGAAATACTGTATATTACTATAGATATATTTGTGTATATCTTGTAGCAACTGTTTTCCAGTCGAAAAACTCTTACAATAGATGCAACCGCGTTTCTATTGAGAACAGGTTGGACTCTGTCAAGCCTCTTTAACTGAAAGGCCGTAATTTGCTGCATGATCAATCACATGATAAATGTTTTATTTCACTGTTGTTGGCATGGTTATGACATTTAAAGAACCCCAAATGCCCCAATAAAAATGTCACAATTAAAAGATAAGGTCCATCCCCATCTTGATGCTGAAACAACAATGTTTTGTTTGTTCTGAAATAAATATTCAATACTTTGAATTTCAGCTGAGAGAAAACCTGTAGTGACTTGTTTGTGTTAAATAGCAGTTCTGTTTCTGCAGGAAACCATTTAATGTGGTACATGCACCTTCATTTTATGGCTGTGAATATTTTGTGCTTTTAACAGACACTAGAAATACAGCTTTTTTTTAATTATTATCCAACACTTGGTAAGAGTATCAGGGCCAACTTTGATTAAAGATATGTGCCTTTTTTCTGTTTTCAGACTAACGATGCAGTGGGAAATAACTGGAACTGGCTCTACTTCATTCCTCTCATCATCATCGGTTCTTTTTTCATGCTCAACCTGGTGCTTGGTGTCCTGTCAGGGTGAGCTCACTTAGAAAGGATACGCATTGACATTTTTTATTCATATAAAACAATGTACTCTTTTCAGGGTAGGTAAAACATCAGCATTAAAGCAGGGCCTTGCACTCTTTAAATTGCACATTAATGTGATTGAGTAAGGCAGTTATAACTGTATTGGTCGTGAACTCCTTCCCATTTATAGGAGCATAAAAGTAAACCATGCTATGAGCTGTAGAATAAATAGATCCATGTGCATCAAGTTAAGTTATTAACAAATGCAACTCCTTGACCATAAAGTAAGTTTTAGAAAGTAATTAACAAAAAGGTTTCTGAAAACTAAACCTGAAGTCTTGGGAAAAGAGCCAAGACCTTTTGAGACAAAGTAGAAGTTCCAAGCAAAGTGCAAATAAGTTCTGGAACATTGAAGATATGATAAGCAAGGAAAGAACAGGAACTGAAAAGCATCCTATAACTTCCAGTAGGTAGCACAAATAAGTAAAAAAAGTCTATCTTTATTGGAAAACTATGGTTAAAGTTCTAGAAAGTAACCTGTTGTTTCTAGTAAAGAAACCGTCTAAGTTCCAAAAACTATTAGACAGAAACCTTTACGTCAAACAAAGATTTCAACTGTTGTTTTAAGAAATGGAAACCTGTTAGTCTCGGCAAAATACCCTGGCAACTCTGTGAAAGGGAAAGTAACAAGTAAGTTCTAGAAACATTTCTGTTTGCTACTGAACTATGACTTAAAAGGTTTGGAGAAATTCAAGAAATGTTTAGAAAGTAATCTGTAGCTTTAGTAAAAATAATCTTTAGGATCTGGAAAGGACTGCATAATACCGTAGAATAAAAATAAAGGATTCTAGAAAACCAAAATGTAACTTCATAGTAAGTAGTCTGTGAATTATGGGAAACTAATTTGTAGGTTTCAGAAAACAAAGTCTAAATGTTCTACTGTCAGAACATAAACATTAAGCTTCATAGAACATGTGTGCTTAGGAAAATTAGAAGTAACCCAGTAATGACAGAAATGAAAATCTAAGCCTGTAGAAAGTATCCCTTTTGGTGAAGGATCATCCAAAAAAACATAATAAGTTATTATTTTAATAAAAAAAAAATATTTCTTGTAGGTTCTTAGAAATTGCAGTGGGTGAGGGGCCTCTTATTTTTATTAAAGTAATTTTTTATTTCAAGAGCATAATAATAATGGTCCAGGACAGTATATCAGAATTTGAAGGTCTGTAATTAGCCAGTAAATAAAAATAAAAAAATAAAAAAGTACATACAGTATAAGGTTGGAAAATTACCTGTTGGATAAAGGGGAAGAGAAAGAATCTCCCATAAAAATAAACCTTTTAGGTTCTACAAATGGAAACTTTCCAAAAGCAGCCAGTAGTTTACAGAAGCTAACTTATTGTTTCAGGAAAGTAACCAGAAAGTTTCAGGAAAGTAAAAAATATGTTCTGTGATCTAAATGTAAGTCAAAAACTATCCCTTAAAGTAACCTGTACATTCTGGAAAATACCTTTATAAGTTTTGCTCCAGAAAAAAACATGCAAGTTTGGGTAAAGTAACCTGTTTCAATTCATATTAAATTCTAGGTAAGTAATCTGTTGGTCACAGAAGGCTTCCGCTGGAAAGTAACCAGGAAATACAGGGATGCTATCGTCTGTACTTTGCACTATTGGCTATTCTTATGAATTTTGGTTATCTTAAGAAAATATTTTAAAATATTAAACAGGAAACCTTGAAAATGTCTGTTTCTGATAAAATACATAGTAAACACAATAAGCTGCAGCTTTATTAGTGATAAAAGTTTCTTAAAGGTTTTTTCCTGGGCTAATTTTTAATGTAGTTGGTGGATTATGCATCGTGTTGACAGTGTGCTGCTTAAATAACATGTTAGTACATTGAAATGGGTTAATTATTAAAAAGCTTAAATTATAACAGTATTACAGTACATGAAAAGTAACTGGAGAATTTTGAATCAGAACAATTTGATTTAATTGTTAAAGTTTGTCTGTCGATTATTTCTACACTAGATTCTCAAAATATGCCCCAGCTATCAAGCTCAACTAACTGGAGAGTTTATTTAACTGATTAATCTCTTCCTAACAACTTTTCATCCTCTAATTGATTTTTCCTGTAAAACCTCTAGTGTCATGATTAAGATCTCCAGCTTTAATCCTCTCAGTTGTCTGTATCACTGGATTTGACTGCTCCTATGTTCATCAATATTATTGAGTATGGAGTCACAAAGCCTCTCTTCTCAGCTATGCCGCCCTCTATGGCCTTTTCTCATTAGGCAAATATATCCATGTGCAACATTTGTCTGAAGTTGATAAGAAAATAATTACTGATCTATTATGAGAGGTTTGATTGTTTTTAAGCCAAATTTTGCACATACAGTTTTGGGGCACCTCTCCGGAGTGTAATTCTCATTTTCAATATCAAATATAAATCAAGACAGAAAATAATAAACATGTTCTAATATAAATAGTAAATGATTTTGTAAAAACAGTCTGTTTCCTCTCTGTTTGTCAGAGAATTTGCCAAAGAGCGAGAGCGAGTGGAGAAGAGGCAAGAGTTCCTAAAGCTTCGCCGACAGCAGCAGATCGAGAGGGAGCTCACTGGATATCTGGAGTGGATCTGCAAAGCGGGTTAGACTAGAAACTAAAATGGAGTGGGTGTCTTTGTGTCAATTTTAGGAGAAAAATGAACAAACTTTTACAAATAAATGTTGTTCTGCAGAGGAGGTGTTGCTTGAAGAAGAGGATGAGATTGCTGATGAGAAGTCCCCGCTGGATGGTGCGTGGTACAAAAGGAAACAAAACCTTTCAGGTAAAGGCTGAGCCTCTGCAGCCTGCTTTCAAACATTGTGCATAGACAGTATCCAAGCACTGACTGACTTTTTT